TGTCTTCCTTTGGGATCAAAGGCTCTTCTAGTCCTTGATAAAGTCTACCGGGACCTATGCGAGACTATAAAAGGGTCTATGGAATTAGACGGATGGTGGTTTATGGGACTCTGTTGGGAAGGGTCTGAGTCGAGGAAAAGGGGATTTGTTAGCCCCCAGCAAAGTTTAAAAATAGCGCCCCCCTGGGTGTTCACTGGTACGCAGGTGGCTTCGGGGAATCACAAAATAAATACCTGAGAACCAGAGACTGGATTTTCTGCCATTAAAAAACAGGTACGTCTATAAAAACTCATCTTCCAAAAGGTCTCTGGTGCTTTCTCTCCCCACTCCACCGCCATTGTGACTACCTAACTCGCCTATCCCTAGTCCCAACTCTGTTTGCAAGAGGATGTTGGTGGGATTACGGGTTTGTAGGAATATCTAAATCTAGGATTGTAAAGGAATTGTAAAGGACTACCTAATCCAGCACCTTTCATTTTACAGAGGGGCCAATTTAAGACCTGGGGAGGTTAAGAGAAAAGAATTCAGTTATTTTTCCTTATGAGAGCCCAGATCCAGTATTTTCCCCCCATCACACTCCCCATAGAGAAGGAGTTTACGGACCTGTTAAATACGTGTCATAGCAGATAGAAGGCTGGATTCAAGTCATACACTTAGCACACATCCAGCACAAGTCACTTAACCTCTCATCCCCAAAGACAACTCTTTAAGAGTTTGGTAGGAGGAGTTCCTCACTCAGGAGTTCTCTATGCCAATAAAATCACAGGTCCAGTTCTTATCCCAATGAAGGTAAGCATATAAAGAAGAATTGAAAGTCTATATATGGATCTTTGCGGGATCATGTGGAGACATAGGAGAGGCAATAGAACAATAGTGGCTCTCATTTACACAGCAAGCTGACAGAATTCTTAAGGATTCTCCCCATTTTACAGATGAAGAGAATGAGAGCAGAAGTGACTGGTGAGTTGTTTTATCCAAGGTCTAGGGCTACTAAATGACAGAGACAAGGCTTGAAATCCTATCTTTTGACTTCAAATCCAGCTCTTTTCCCATTAAAGCAGGATATCTCTAAGTGCACAAGGACCTCCAGAGGAAGGGTGCTGTGAAAATATATAGATGGGCAATTGTGAAAATCTTAAGTATGCCAGTGGGAATCTAATGTAAATTCTTTGAGGGCAGGGATCATTTTTGTTTTGTTTTGTTTTGTATTTCCAGCACCTTGAGGGAACTGAGGCAAACAAGGATTAAGTGACCTCTCCAGGGTCACACAGCTAGTCTGAGGCTAGATTTGAAGTGGTGTGCCGTTTCCTTCTCCAACTCGTTTTATAAATGAGCAAACTGAGGCAAACAGGGTGGAGTGACTTGCCCAGGGTCACACAGCTTGTAAGTGTCTGAGGCCAGATTTGAATTCATGAACATGAGTCTTCCTGATTCCAAGCCCAACGCTCTATCTATCCAATGAACCACTTAGCTGCCCCTGCCTAGCATGTAATAGGAATTTAATAAATGCTTGTGTAATGAATGTATCTGTACAAAGTCTATTAAGTCTACAAGATGTATAGAGGTTTTACTCTCAGAGTTGACACCCCGTCATTGTTGGTTCACTTCTTTGTATTCTTCCCCCTTACCCCCAAATGTGTTCGCTGTATGACATCTATTGCTTACTCAAAGTGAGCCAGATTACATTTGTTTCAAGAGCTTTGAACACACGTACCCTGAATCCCAGAACTCATCCCAAACCAGAACTGAGCCCAATGCTGTAGAGGGCTAAGGTTGCAAGGTTTCATCTGGATGTGGGGATAGTAGGGTATAAAGAGGGGTGGAGGTAGAGATATGCTGGAACCAGCTCCTACCTCCTCTGAGAGTCCATTGTTAAGTTTTTAGTGTAAGCATTTATACTGTATCAGTTGGCAAATCCTACAAATTAGGATTTGACTTACTATTTTGTTGATTGTCTATACTTAAGAAAGTGATGGAGAAAATGTGAGTAATGCAAATTAAATTCAGATTGTATTTTTTTCTTGATCAGCCATTTGTTAAACATTTACTAGCATATCCCTGATTTGAAGGCTCTCAATATGCCAAGACCAGAGTCATGGGCACCCTCATCATTTTCCTGGGATTATATGCCTTACTTTCTCCTTCTTGCCAAAAGATTGAGCCAAGAGCACAGAACGTGGGTAGATACCATGGGTATGATGGGGGAGGCAGAGAAGAACCTTCTCTGCCAATCATGAAGGGGCTGTCTCTACTCACTGGCAAAGATTCTCTTCCCCAGGTGGCACTTTGGTTTTCCTTCTGCCTCCTGATCCTGGCTCTTTTTCCCTTTTTTTTCCTTTTAAAGGAGTAGTATATCCTTTCTCTGGCTAGGAAAAGAAGGTAAAGCCCTCATACATAGACAATTTACAATGGGGGCATCCCATTAATAACGCTTCCAGCATTAATAACACAGGCCAGCAGGGGAAGCAGGATGTAGTGGAAAGAGTACTAGACTGGGAAAGGCAGGAAACCTAGATTTTGTTTCTAATTCTGCCACCAACTCACTGTGTGACTTTGGACATCACCTTTCCTCTCTGGGTCTCAGTTTCCCCATCTATAAAATCAAAGGCTTAGATCCAGCTAGTTTCTAAGACTCCTTCCAGCTTTGATAGTTAATATGCTCAGGGCAGCTAGGTGTTGAAGTGGATAGAGCACTGGCCCTGGAGTCAGGAGGACCTGAGTTCAAATTCAACTGCAGATACAAGCTGTGTGACCCTGGGCAAGTCATTTAACCCTGATTGCCTCAATAAATAGTTAACAATACTATTTATGAGAGGCAGCTAGGTAGTATGGGTGCTGAACTTGGAGTCAGGAAAGTCTGAGTTCCAATCCTGCCTCAGACACTTTTACTAGCTGTGTGACACAGAACAGATCACTTAACCTTTATCTGCCTCTGCTTCCCCAAATGTAAAAGGGACATATTAATAACCTCACAGGGTTATTGTTGTTAAGACCAAATGAGAGAACATATGGAAAGTGCTTTCTAAGCTTTAAAGTGCTGATAAATGCCACGGAACACACAGAGAACCCATCCATTAAAACAATACACACCTCCCCCCAGTAGGGCCTAACACCACAATTCACTATCTTCTGCCTGCTAAATCCAACTCACAACACCCTTTGATTGGTCACACCCTGAAGTCAGTGCAGACAAGCAAAATTCTCCAGGTGCAACACAGGAAAGGTCCCTTACATGCACACACAAATGATAAGACACAACAGGCAATCAGCCGCAAACAGGACACACAGTGTACCGCTTCCCTTTCTGACTGGCCAGCTGTATACAAATGGCACACAGGAAGACTGAAGAGCCTATTGACTCAGCAGGATGGGATTTTTCAAACTGCTCCTTCCCCCACTACCTCCTACCACTTGTCCTCATGCCAGGAAGGGGCAAACAAAACATGTTTCTTGAGGTTTCACGGGGTAAGAGACCTGATGATTTCTGATCTTAAAGATTGGTGGTCTTCATTGTGGGTACTGGCAATGTATCAGTAGGGAAGGTTTGTTGTTCAGTCACGTTTGACTCTTCATGACCTTGTGGACCCTACTCTTCCTAGGGTTTTCTTTGCAAGGATACTGGAGTAGTTTGCTACTTCCTTCTCCGGCTTATTTTATAGATGTGGAAACTGAAGCAAACACAGTTAAGTGACTTGCCCAGGGTCACACAGCTAGTAAGTGTCTGAGGCTGGATTTGAACTCAGATCTTCCCGGCATTCTGTCTACCAGGCCACCTTCTATCAGGGAAGGTAGCCTTCCCCATATTCCTGAACCTTCCCAAGAACCATTGGGGTAGTAGGCATTTGCGTAGGCATGGATGTGAGGCAGATGTTTCCCACTAGCCAGCAACATGGTATAATAATAATAATAATAACTCTCATTTTGAAAATTACATGGTAATACAGTGAGTAGAGAGTTGGTTTCAGTTATAACCTCTCAGTTCTCTAGACTAGTGAAGTCCAACAAACAGAAATGGTGTCACTAAATCTTACATAAGATCCTTACATTCAACATATTGAGTTAGAAAACTACATACTAATACTATCTACTTCTATTGTATTGTTTTAAATTCATTTTGGTAAATGTTCCCTACTTACATTTTAATGGGCAGGTAGGTGGCCCAGTGGATAAAACCTGGAGTCAGGAAGACTCATCTTCCTGAGTTCAAATCTGGCCTCAGATACTAGCTATGTGACAAGTCACTTAACAGTTTGCCTCAGTTTCCTCATCTGTCAAATGACCTGGAAAAGGAAATGGCAAACCACTCCAGTATCTAGCAAGAAAACCCCAAATGGGGTCATTTAGAGTAGGACATGACTGAACAACAATTTCATTTTTTTTTTAAGGCAATTGAGATTAAGTGACTTGCCCAGGACCACACAGTAAGTGCCTAAGGTTGGATTTTAATTCAGGTCCTCCTGACTCCAGGGTCAGTGCTCTATCCACTGCCACCTAACTACCCCAACAATTGCATTTTAATCTGGTTTGGCTGTCCTCACTTGGGAGTGCTACGGGCTGCAATGTAGCCAGGGGCTCTGTCTGACCCCTCTGCCCTCCATAACTTTCTAAGGCTCTAAGTGCAGAGCAGGTGTTGACCTGCTGTGGTAGAGGAGGAGTTTCCTCTGTCAGTGAGACCACAGGTGCCATACCTGTCCCTTATCCTTATGTCATTTATACGGCACCTTAAGGTTGGTAAAGCTCTTTACATTCATTATCTTATTTGAGCCCCACAATGACCCTTGCAGTAGGTGCACATTATTATCCCCATTTTGTAGATGAAGAAATTGAAGCTTAGGGAGGTTAACTGACCTTCCCCGGGATCAAAAGCTAAAGTAGATCTTTAAGGCAGAATTTGAACCTAGGTCTTCCAGATAACAACATTTTATCCACGATCATGACAATACAGTGGAAAGACATTGTTTAGAGTCAGATGCCTACTTTTAACTTCTGGCTGTACTTACCTTTTGTGTGTATTGCCACAAATAAGTTACTTCCCCTCTCTTGAATTAATTTTTCCTACCTATGAAATGAGGAGACTGGGGTTAGATTATTGCTATAATCCCTTCCATCTCTAGATTCTATAAGTCACTAGACTCATCTTCTGTCTAGGTGTTTACCTGGCTTTTACTCTGCTAAACTCATAATGAAGAGGAGGTAGGTATCCCCCATGCACTGTGAAATCCCAGTAGCATCAGTGAGTTTTCTATCTGTCCTCTCCTCCCTCTTGGCATGGCCTGGAGGCACTCCCCAAGGTTTCACCAGGCCCTATTCCCAGCCAGGGACTCTGGCATCCCAGCTTTCAGTTCCATTAATGAAGAAACCAGGAAGCCAATGGTATGAATCAGCAATCTAAAGCTGTATCAAAGAAAGTGGGTAAACAGAGCTGGTAAATAAGGGATTGAGGAGTATCCTATCCCACCCTCCTCCAGAGATGACCTCTCAGTGTGGGCATCAGGTCTCTTTTGCATGGGCTTTTGAGTCAGGCTGGGATAGCTTCTCTCCAAATGCCAAGGAGCTCCCTACCATCCCATCTCCCACTACAACCCCATTCTCGCTAGAGGGCCAGATCTATGGACAAAACACTGGGGAATCAGGATACCAATGCTGCCCCTTGGAAAAGGGTAATAAGACAGAGTCACCTCCCTCCTTCCACGGCAAAGCTCTAGGGACAAATCCCACTTTTCTCTGTAACAATAATAGCTGACATTTATATAGCACTTACTGTGTGCCAAGCACTGTACTAAGCACTTTACAACTATTCTTATCTGATCCTCACAACAACCCTGAGAGGTAGATGCTATTATTATCACTATTTTACAGATGAGCAAATCAAGGCACAGTGACTTGCCTAGGGTCACACAGCTAGGAAGTATCTACAGTCAGATCTGAACTCAGGTCGTCATGACTCCAGGTCCTACACTCTACCCACTGTACCACCTAGCTGTCTGCTCTGTAGCAAGAGATTCCCATGGCAGCCAAAATATACATTCCTGACTTCTTTTCCTTCCTTTATGGCCCACCTTGGTTTCCCCTCAGGCTAGAATAACTTCCCTTTTCCAGGCAGCTATACCCCATACTTTATACTCTAGGCTGGGGAACCTGTGGCCTCGAGGTCACATGCGGCCCTCTAGATCCTCAAACGTGGCCCTTTGACTGAAGTTGGTATTCAGTCAAAGGGCCAAAGGTTCCCCACCCTTGCTCTAGCATAAACCACCTCCTTTAGGAAGTTTCTCCTGATATGAGCCTCAGCCTCCAACAGCCCCCTTCAGTGACTATTTAACAGACTACAGCTCCCTACGGTTCTGGTTAAGGAACAGCCTCCCTCCAGGAGCCTGGAAGTTCACTGAGGGCAGGGCCTCTTCTCTCTCAGACTGGGAGTTTCTCAGAAGCAAAGACCGTGTCTCCCCTTCAAATAGGGACTTCCTTATGGCTCAGGAGGGGTTTGCTCTCCTCAACTTCTGGATTCCTGATGCCAACCCATCACCTACCCCAAAGTACCCAAGAGACTCTCAATCCAGAGTCAGGTGGGATAGACAAAGAACCCTGGGTGGTGTGGGGTTGGGGAAAAGTGTTGGATTTTGAGTTAGAGCATCTAGGTTCACACCATAGCTCTGTTGTTTACTAACCTCTGTGAGCCTCAGTTTCCTCATCTGTAAAATGAGGCAGTTGGACTGACTTCTGGGGTGTCTTTCCAGTTCTACATCTGTGCTCCTATAACCAATGTAAAAGCCTTGTGAAAAAGACACTCCATTTCTCTAAATCTGTTTCCTCATGGAGATAATAACTACACACACACACACACAAAAGGTAAACCTTAAAGTACCACAGAAATGTAAGGAATCAGTATTATTTCCTCCTTCATGGGCTATTGGGAAGAGAAAAGGGGATAAATTGCAAAGTGCTGTACCCATTAAGGACACTAGGTGGCACAATGGATAGAGCACCAGGTCTAGAGTGGAAACACCTGACTGAGTTCAAACACAACCTCAGGCACTTAGCTGTGTGCCTCTCCACAAGTCACTTAACCCTGGTTGCCTCAGTTTCCTATTCTGTAAAATGGGATGGAGAAGGAAATGGCAAATCACTCCAGTATCTCTGCCAAGAAAACCCCAAAAGGAGTCATGAAGAGTCAGACATGACTGAATAACAAATACCATTTAGAGGATTATTACCATTAATGATAGTAATACTAGTATTAATAAAGGTGGTGATAATGATTTGGAATGTAAACTTCTTGAGAGCAGGGATTATTTTGGTATCCCCAGTGACTAGCATGGTGCTTTGCATGCAGAAGATGCTTAACAGTGAGGCATCTTGGTACAAGGGGAGTTTAAGAGTATTAAGGCAGGAGACCTGCATTCACATTTTGCCTCTGATCCTTACTGTATGATTTGGGGCAAGTCACTTAATGGCCTCTGATATGAATAAAATAGGTAGTTGGACTAGATGGCCTATCCCTTCCTGTTTCATAGCTGTAATCCTATGAAATGTTTGTTGACTAATTGAATAAATAAAATATCTGGTGCTGTCCAGGCAGGGTCCAGAGAAGTGACTGGAGGAAAGGGCTTAAGCCCGGTCCTACAGGGGTATGCTTGATTCAGTAAGTGAAGGAGAAATAAATTGAAATCACAACAGAAAAGATTCAGTTGACCTACCTGGACCCTGTAGCTCCAGCTCTTTGGTTTTTAGCATTTATTAAGCTTAATAATAACAATATCAAGTTGTTCAGTTGTGTCTGATTCTTCATGACCTTGTTTGGGGTTTTCTTGGCAAAGATACTGGAGTGGTTTTGCCATTTCCTTCTCCAGCTCATTTGACAGATGAGGAAACTGAGGCAAACAAGGTTAAGTGACTTGCCCAGGGTCATACAGCTATTAAGTGTCTGAGGCTGGATTTGAACTCAGGTCTTCCTGACTCCAGGCCTAGCACTCAATGCACTGCACCACCTAGCTGCCTAATAATAATAACTGACATTTATATAGTATTGTCTCATTTGAGCCTCACAGCCACCTTGTGAAGTAGGTGCTCCAGGTATCATTATTCCCTTTACACAGATGAAGAAATCAAGTTTCAGATAGGTTAAGTGTTTTTGTCTTTCGTCTTGAAGCTAGTAAGCACCAGGAGTATTTGCACACACATTTTCCTACCTCCGAGTCTGGATTGCTAACCACTATGATCCCTCAATCCCAGCCGGATTGAATTTGGAGCTGAGCAGGGAAAGCGTGGTCTCACTGTGCATGGTGGCAGTGACTTAGCGAGATGTAACTCGGTGACCTCAGCTACAAGACTCTGAATCCCTCGTTCAGCAGTAGTCCACTTGGGGTAGGGGGCGACATGAGAAGCCAGACTCCAGTTTCTCCCCCTCCCCCTTCACACACATAACCCTCTCTCCCCCTCCTCCCCTCAAAGGAATAAGTCAGGCATAGGCAGATGGGGGAGGGGGTGGGGGGCTGTTTTTATGGGGACAACCTGACAGAGGGCATGGTCCATACAAAACCGGGGACAATACATACATATATATATTATATACAGAGACATGGCCCCTCAGCAGGGGAGAGGGGCAGGCAAGAGAAACCTGGAGATGCTCCCTGGCCAACTCTCCCACTGCCGCCCCACCCCATCCTAAGCCTCTAGCTCCCTTCCCTCCCCTACATCCACTTTGCCCCAGAGGTCCCTCCATCTGCCAGGGATGAAGTAGGAGCAGGGCACAGGAGTGGGGACACTGAGACATCCAGCTTTTTATGAGGGAAGGCAAAGGCGAGGGGAACAGAGTAGGAGCAAGGGGTCAAGAATACTGATCGTAGGCCTATTTACAGGGGGAAGCAGAAATTATAGATGTTGTCTCTAAAAATAAAAAAAAAGTGGGGAACTGCTGGGTGAGGAGGAGATAGTGATGGGGTAACCTCTAACCCTGGCCCAAGCAAGGTTCGCCCCCTTCCTCCCACCCCCCCACCCACCCACCCATCCCTGCCTGGGACTGCAGGGGCTGATAGTGGAAAAAAAGATAGAAAACGAAAAACCAAACGAAAACCAAACGAAAACCAAAACAAACTAAGTGGGAGATGGATTCTGAAGGTGGTGGGGGTGGGGAGGAAATATTGGGGTCTCTCCTCCCTTGGTCCAAGCCCCAATCTTGGGGGAAAGGGTATGTCTGTGGAGACTGGGGAGGGGAAATGTAGGAAGAGGTGGTCTTATTTAGAAAGTAGGTCTGTGGGCAGGCTACCATTCATCTCCAAGGAGAAGAGGGGATCAGGGGACCAGGGAGAGAGAGGGAAAGAGATAAGTGGGCTGGGATGTAGAAACTGAGAAGGTGGCATTGAACCAAAAAAGGGGGAGCCAGGAAGGCTCAAGTCACTGAGAGGTTGAGCTTTTACCCTCAACAGGCACTGGGGAGAAGAGGGGTGCCCTGAAGAGAGACTATTCAAAGGAGCCTTGACCCAGGACTAGGAGTTGAAGAGTTAACATTCAGAGTCTAAACAGCCAGAAAGAGTGAGTTTTCCACCTGCCCCCTTCCTCCATCTGTCTCCACCAGAGGCCCAAGAAATAAAAGGGACAAAAGAATTCTAGCACTATTTGGCACCTGCAGGGTGAGGATGGGAAGGAAGGGGCACAAAACTCAGCGAGGGGGGAGTGGGGTCAGGGAGAAGAATATCTAATGGAGTTTGCCCCAGGGAAGTGAGGAGCAGGAGGTTGGGGACCCAAGTGTCCTGGGCCCTCCCTTGGCTTCCTCTCGATTCCCCTCCGTGGATACCAGGAAAGGGAAATAAACCAACTGGAAATCAGTGCAGGGCTTGACCCAACCTCCAAGCATCCCCTTGCTCTACCCACCCTGCCCTAGGCCCTCGGACCAGAATCCAGAGAAGGCAGGGTGCCCGGAGGGGCATTGGGTCACAGGGGGAAGCTCCCCCCACCCCAGAAGCAGGAGGAGCAGGATGAAACTGAGACAGCAAATTGATCCCCAAGGTGAAGTAGAGTGGGGAAAGAGAGAATGAGTCAGGAATGAAGTCTACAGCCAAGAGGTCCTGGGGGCCTGCTGGGGACACAGGGCAGCCCCTTCAGTTTCTGAGATCTTTGGGGTAGGGGCAGTGGAAAGGGGAAAGAGCTGGCCAAGAAGTGCAGTGGCTGCTCCCCAGAAGTCTCCAGCTACTTCCCTTCCCATTCCAGTTTGGAGGCAGTGGCTTGGAGTTGGACAGTTTGGGTGTGGGTGGTGGGTTCACTTGTCCATCCAGAACCCACCCTGCAGACATGCCCAGAGACAGCAAGAGGGATCACCCCATAGCACCCCTCAAAGTCATCAGGAGTCTCCCTCCACCCTGGGCAGCACCCTCAGTCTTGGGGAGGTGGTGGCAAAACTGTCTTTCAGGATGGACACAGGCCAAGGGAGGGATGTCACCCTCCCCAGCCACTTCTGCTTAGGCTCTGACTTGACAAATGAAAGATTAACCCAGTTGAGCCCTAAGTCCAGAGGCCTTCCCAGCTGTTCCTCTGGTCCCTGAAGCGAGGAGGGATATGGGGTTGGGAGGGGAAGGAGAGAATTGGGGCACCTGTCCCCAGGTGGGGAGTGGAAAAGAAAGGATAAAGATTGGGGTGGGGGGGAGGGAGGGAGGGGAGGATGGGGAGAAGAGGTAGGGAAAATCCAAGGGTGGGTGGTTAGATATTGACTGGGGTTTGGGTATGTGTTAAGTGGAATTGGAATTCCTCATTGTCTGTAGGTTCCCCTCTAGTTCCGATATCTGAAAAAAAAAATACAAGTGATCAGGCCAGGCTAGGGAGAATGAGCAAAGTGGAATAGCTGATTGGAAGCAGGCCTGACCCCTTCTCCCCAAAGCTACATACTTCCTAAGGGAGAAAGGGCAGGGTGACACTGTCCTCATTCCCATGTGCAGCAGATACACGTGAGTATCTGAGACCACTGGGGTGGAGAAGTTAATCCCTGGGTCTCTGCTCTCATTGTCTGTCCCTCTTCCTTTTGGGTGCTCTCTCAGATACTCTGATTCTCTTCCCAATCTTTGTCTCTCCGTGTCTCCATCTCCTCGATCTGTCTATCTGTCTCTCTGTCCTTCTGCCTTGGTCTCTCCCTCCCCTCCTCACCTCGTGTCTCTGTCTTTTTACAGGGGAAGTGGTTGGTGGGGGAGGAGCCCTTGAAACATACAGCATTTGCCTCTTGGATTCCCTCCATAGCAGGTTGGCTGGCATGACAACCTATGGAAAGCCTGGGCATGGACTGGGCAATACCCAAGCTTGGCTCCACCAGTGTGAAGACAACTAGGTGGGTGGGGAAGATCTCTCACTTCCATTTCCACCCCCAGTCTCCTAGAAAACTCCCTTCAGGAAGTAAATCGGGGTGTTCTAGCTTTCCGTTGTCGACCTCCCAAGAAGCTGACCCTAGTGATCCCCTCTCCATACTGTGGTGTCACTTAATCCCAAGTCCCTGAGGGTGCCTCCTCATTACCCTATGCTGGCTCGTTAGCTCAATATGAGCTTCATAATGTCCCTAATGATTGGATGGAGGCCGGGGAATGAGAGAGAAAGAGGAGCAGATCTGGCTACCTTACCTTGTCCCGGAGTTTGTCTATCTCCTCCTTCCGAGCAAGTTCCGATTCTTCCAGCACCCGACGCTGTGCAGTTTCCTTCTTCAGGAACTCGATCTCCCTTTAGGAAAAGAAGGGAGGAGGGTAGGTCAGGGCTAGGCACTGGACTTAAGCACTGGCAGGGATTCTCATGGCCAAGGAAGAAATGAGGTCCAGGAGTTCAAATTCTCATATCTCCCCAAAGAGGGACCCAGGCATCCAAATTCTTATCTCCAATGCCCAAAGTCCCACACCTCTCCATGATGGGGGGGTTCTACAAAGAACCCCAGTGTCCCTATGTCCAGGATTACCCCACAAAGAGATTTCTCCCAGGTTCCCCTGGAGATCAATTCCTCCTCAGGATATATATATATATATATATATTGGGTAGAGAGGAAAGTATAAAAAGTAGTAGGAAGTAGGGAACCACGTTCCTGGGATTCAAAATGAAGAAGAAAAACTCCAGAGTCTCAGTT